CATGGCAGCAGCTCTTGAAGATTCTTGGTCTGTGGTCTGTGACCTTTGAACATTCACCTCTGCTTTTTCTAAAAGACCTCTTTAAAATGCATGAAAAAAGGCGTCCGGATTCTTTAGATGCTGACACAAATATGATGGCACTTGAAATGCCAGTCTTCAATGTTGTTTTATGACATGTTACTAATGTTTCAACCATGAGAAGGTTTTTTTGGACTTAAGATGCGGTTTATAATTGTTGAAATATTGCCTTCAAGTATATAGAATACATCATTTTAGTATTGGTTTTCCTGTAGACTTGTGCAGGGCAGAAAAAACATTTCTACCAAACGATTTTTCCCCAAAATCATCCAGAACCTTTGATGTTTGTTCATTTCACGGTTTGGCTATTCTAAATATTTACCTTGGAAAATATTTGAAGAAAAAAAAAAAAATCTACGTTTGTAAATGATATATTAAACATGTAAATATATTCTAGGTCTCCTTTTTTAGCTCTATCGGTCACTTTACACGTGATCTGTAAATAAAATCAACATATAGTATCTGTCCCTTAGTCATCAATCATCTTTCGCGGTAATATTACCCGGTAATGGGACAAAAATTCTGCAGCAGATTGCCCTCTTATCTGGTCCTGCTGGGTGCCAGGTCTCTTCTATGGCTGGCTGTGACATGCATCCATCTTCTGCAGCTCTGCAGAAATGCATGCTGAACATAACTGCCATTCAATGGCTGAGAGTGTCAGGTGACCGCTCTGAGCCGATGATTGCAACTCTGCATGGAAATATGCACAGAATTGACATTAGTCTGTGTCTGGAACACTAGATCTGGGTTGGCTGATGACTCCCCAGTGACGCTGCCAGAGGTGAAATTATACCTGTGGGATCAAAGGGGTTCATAGCAGAGCGAAATGCTGAACATACAGACTTCAGGCACCATGACCACTTCAAATCACTGAAGGTGCTTGGAGTAACCCTTTCATAATTTTATATTCTTAGTAGTAGTATCATAAACATCCAAAGGATTCTGAATTTAGTGGTCCTCTTGCTGTAAGACTTTTTATTTTTTTATTATTGCTGTAAATAAGCAGATACCTTGAGTTGAGTTCTATTTGGAAATGTGGCGTTACATATACTGTACTTTATTTCTTTTCATTTGTAAGTCAAACCATATGTTGGTTTCCTGCTGATTCATTGCTACATTAACCCTTTCCCAGGTATACATATTCTTTATAATGCACAGCAAAACCCTCTGGGATTGTAGGCAAGAATGGCCTCCATAATGGATTGTAAAGAAAATTGTATGAGGAAAGAGGTTCAGCATGGAGCTGTCAGCTTACTTTTGGTGCCGCATCATTGAAAATAAACTGTTACATTAAATGTTTGTTGGAAATGAGCTCAGGAATTCCAGAGTGAAGCTGCAAAGATGTTCTTAGGCTCTGACTTTTACATTTTGTTAAGATATTCAAAAATAACTGGCTTGCAGGCATTTACCATATTACAGACAAAAATGCTTTCTGTGTTAACAATCAGCCAATTTTAGGAACACCCAGCCTTTAAATTAAAGGGATAATTTAGGGATACTAAATGCTTGAATACAAAGGTTTCCTATGAGGAAGGTTGGATGCATGTGACACATGCACATCAGGTCCCCAATGCTTCGCTACGAGTAGCACTGAATTGGACAATCGCGGAAAAAAAAGATACCCACTCAAAAACATTGTGGGAGGTAGGGAGGTGTGCAAAGGTGGAAAAAGGTAAGTAAAACTTTATATTTATTAATATTTTGGCATACGGGTAGGATGGGATACGAACATAGATGGGGAGAGGGACACTATAGTATTATACAGTATTATACAATTCAATAATCTTTGTTTTTCCAAACACAGGCACACAGAAACAGTGTGGCAGACACAGCGATAGCATAATTAGTCACCTCACATTTTAGGATGAGCAACTTTAGTCACAAATCAAATTAAATCCCTAGAACATGCATATGTCATATTGGTCAATGAAGTTAACCAATTATCTTCTTTTTCTCTCTAAGAGGGAGAAGGATTTAAAAAGCTAAATGAAACAAAAGTGAGACATTTTAAAAAGTATAGGTAACAGAAAATTGGAGCAAACTTCTAGACGTCAAGCAATAACTATGGATGCCAACTGAATCAGCTTACTGCGGCTATGTTTACGCACAGCATTGTTGCCCTTAGTTTGGAGTGGTGCTGGCCAGATGGATTGTGCTAACTTTATTTATAACGAAAAATGAAACGATGACAAGTGCAGCAGTTTCTCGCTATGGGTGATGTCTTCCTAGTAAAATACAGATGTTCTTTTTAAGACAGCAGAGTAAAAAGTGTATCTTTAATTAATAATCCTTCACCAGACAAAGCTCTCTGGACACTACATGCAAATGATTGGAATTAGACCCTCAGAGTAAATGAAATCTGGGGAAGAAGGGGCACTCTCCATAGCCCCCTTGTTATGTCTGTGGAACAAATCCATGCTGTGTAGGAGGCATTGTGTATGGAGATTCGTACTACCTTTCTAACTGCTATGCCAAGGTGTGGAGATTGTGACAGGTGGCACAAAGATATTTGGGCCTAGCTATATTTATAAAAGCCTTACTAACGTGTAGATATAGCGTTCCTAACTATCTCAGAAACTTTGGGCAAACACACAATATATAGATGAATAAAATGTGTGAACTTGTATAAAATCAAAATATTATACATGGCGATGTCCATTGTAACAGAAATCTTAATGGTGTTGGTTAATACCAATATGGGGCATTTCATTATTTGCTGTTTCTGTCTAAGCTATGAAAAGAGGTGTTTCAGAAGGTAAGTTGGGGTTCTGACGAAGATTCAATCATGGATTCAAATACAACTAATTTATGATTCAGGACTAAGAAGAATGCTGTTCTAAAACATCTTACTGTGTCTTAAGCAGAACGGTCACTTCTCTGGAAATTACGTCATTGGATAAACCTTTGAAAATCACTTTTAACTAGTGTTAATCTATTTTTTCTTTCATATAATACTCCATTTTCTCTTAAATGTGTAATAAAGGATTTAACAAGTGCAATCACAATCTGGTCATGCAATCTAGTACAATGCAAATTAGGAGGAAATCAGAAAACTTGTTTCTTAATAAACCATTATCTAACTATGTTCAATGGCAGAAAAGGGCCATATTTATAACTGTGGTTGACAGGGAGCCAAATTGAAGCTGCACAAATACAAAGATTTCTACATTTAATTTTACTTTTTTAGGTCCATACACACATTTGCTAAATATAAGGGAAAGGAAACGTAATAAAAATCCCCTTTAAATAATACTAAGCACCATTATGGTGGAAGGATTCTTTGGATGCAGTCCCTCCAGTTTTTGTAACACTGATTTTGTGCAACAAAACTGTGGCTCTCCTGTAACCCAATGCTGGCTCATTTGATGCCATTAAAATAATGAGGAATCTCAATATGAGTCCAAATGTGGAAGATTATGATAAAATGTGACTGCGGAGTGCAATTTAGTCAAAAGTGGCACTGACATGCAAGTTTCTTGTAGTGGTTATGGTGTACAATTTAACATTATATTTATGACCCACATGATTTACTTCTTATGATTTTATTATTTGTTCCTTTACAAAGCAAAGCATTATTATTAGTGTATGCCTTTTGGTAAGATGGTAGAATTGCTGGCATTAGTTTTTTGTTGATCCGGTTGTGTCAGCAGTTTCATTGTTAAATATTACTTACAGTTAGAGTAATGCTTAAGGAAGCCCGTCAGCAGCCAGCAGATGGATTAAATTGTAAATACATATTTTACCCCCTCACTATTTTTTTTTGTCTGTAGAAAGATGTCATCTGAGGACATGCAATATCTTAAATTAATAGCTCTTTGGTGATTTTTTTTTTTAAAGAGATGTAAACATTCTGTCCACTTTTAAACACAAACTTTTAGAGCAAAAGGAAAACGTCTGTTTCTATTTGCATGAACTCTAGTTAAATGTTTGTTGAAATGTGTGAAAGTCCATACTTTTTTTTTTTTAATATGTAGTGCATTTCCATTGCAAAGGCCACATCTAATGTCTTAGAGTTTTCTGACCAGTTAGGGAGGGGGCATTAGAGACTGCAGTTGGTACGTCAGCAAAAAGTTATTAAGCTGCAACGGCCACATGTATATCTGCAGCCTTTGCATCCCTCCTGGTGGTCTTATGATCAGACGGGGAGATTTCTTTCTTTTGTTATGCTTTTCGCCTCTCTGTAAACTGTGCAGTTAGAATGTCTGAAAGTGCCAGATTACAAAGTCATGTTGTAACATAATTTAAGAGTCTCAATGAGCATGGTGTCATGGCCACTGACAGCCACTGTCATGGCACCCCCTGGTGCCGCCATACACGAACTGATGCTGTGCTTCATTCTGGCAGCCTTTTGACAGATTACTCCACCTTGGAGATATTTATATATGCCTCGATTCTCAAGTCATATTTTAATGTCATACCTACAGTACTTGCATCCATTCAGTGATATCAGTCTTGTCCCTTTTGCCAATAAGAGCAGCTCTGGGGTTACCTGAGAGTGTGTTAGTTATCCGGTGTGTTTTTTCTGGTTTAGATTCTGCTCTGTTTTGACTACCTCAATCTCTGGAATCTCAGACCTCTGTACATGTTGGCCTGTCTCTGTTTTACTCATTGTCTGTTATCAGACTGTGTTCCATACTATATCACATTAAGTGGGCCACTCTAAGGACTGGTAATACATTAAATTTCCTTAGTATACCATACTCTTTGCCCTAAGTTTGCGGGTATACCTGCCTTGACACATGCAACCAGGTTTGGATTTTATCTGGAGGCACTAAACCCTCGACCCCCTGCTTGGCCATAATGGATCTTTTGTTCAACCAAGAAAGTATGAAAAATGAAGAGCAGTAGCAGATGGTAAGGGACCCTATGATTATTAGAAAAATAAAATACAAGACTTTATTTTAAAACTCTCGTCCTGCTCAGTACGTTCTTAGATGTCCTGTGATCTTCTTATTGTGAGCATTATAATGCTATCTGTTTGCCCTGTTCCTGCATTCTACTGACCTATAGCCTGTTTTTTGCACTGAACCTTGGTCACCTGAACTGACTCTTTATTGGGGCTGACATTGCTTTTTGAATAACCCTTAGATTTGACACTAATTCATTGTTTAGGGAACCAAGCCTGTGTGGTAGATTCCAACTCTTTCTGCAACATACATACTGAGCCTACATAACCCAAATGTAACAGCTAATGTGGCAAAAGAAAGGTTATTCCACCAGAAAAGGTATAGACCTTGCAATTATTCAGTCTTTGTCAAGCCAGGCACTTTAAAGGACCACTCTAGGCACCCAGACCACTTCAGCTTAATGAAGTGGTCTGGGTGCCTGGTCCAGCTAGGGTTAACCCATTTTTTAATAAACATAGCAGTTTCAGAGAAACTGCTATGTTTATCAATGGGTTAAGCCTTTCCCCTATTCCCTCTAGTGGCTGTCTCATTGACAGCCACTAGAGGCGCTTGCGTGCTTCTCACTGTGATTTTCACAGTGAGAGCACGCAAGCGTCCATAGGAAAGCATTGTAAATGCTTTCCTATGCGACGGGCTGAATGCGCGCGCAGCTCTTGCCGCGCGTGCGCATTCAGCCCAGGAGGAGTATCGGAGGAGGAGAGAAGGAGGAGAGCTCTCCGCCCAGCGCTGGAAAAAGGTAAGTTTTTAACCCTTTCCCCTTTCCAGAGCCGGGCGGGAGGGGGTCCCTGAGGGTGGGGGCACCCTCAGGGCACTATAGTGCCAGGAAAACGAGTATGTTTTCCTGGCACTATAGTGGTCCTTTAAGGGATACTACACGGCTACATGCTTGAGGTCAGCCACAATACATTTTTTTTTAAATTTTTTTGCAGAATAGTAAAATAAAGTTCCTGTATTCACTGCACAACCCCAGTCACTAGAATGTAATTCAGCCAATCATGTTCACTTAACCTTATATAGCTATGCAGAACTTATTTCATAAGCAGTACTTTATGGGCACAGCAGGTTTTTTTGTGAGTTTTAGTTAAATTGAGAACTGGAGTCATGTACTGCAGCATTTTTGTAGCAAAAATTAAATGTTGCAGGAGGGAGGTAATGGAAGTAAAGAGCTGAAACAGTGAGCTCATAAGGAAATTGTTATGATATTTAAAATATAAATAGAAAATTTACATTGATAAAATAATACCCAGCATAAATAACTGTAACCTAAAGGGTTTTTAACCCCTTCTGCACCATGGGGGAGGACCACGCGGTAGTGGAGCACTCTAGGGAACTATAGTTTCCCTTTAACTTACACATTTAGCTTCGTATGTGTGACCAAGTCAGGTCATGTCTAGTTTTACAGTTATGTTTACAGTCCACTTACTGAGACGTGTCCACGGTATGTTGTCAAACCATTTAGAATTTGCAGAACACTCAACGTTTTCTTAAGACTAGGTCACCCCTTGAACTAAACAAAACTCAATTACAGAATTAGGTAGCTATAACCATTGTTCAGTTAAAAACATCCTGGGGTAACAAGCTATTTCATATTTTTTTCAACAATTTAAGCAGTTGCGTTTGTTTTATTGATTTATATATCCAGCTGAATTGCTGTGCCATGTAAACTGATTACTGTGACCAGAAACCAAAACAATCATTTATTTTATGTGACAGGCCAAATATTTTCTTTTCAGAGGAAGATCAGAAGTAAAAAGCTTCCTGAGAGCCTGAAAACTGTTCTGGTCCTCTTAACTAGGGTATACTCACTTACCATTATGTTTGTTTGAAAAAAAAAATGTATTGTTTAATTTGCTAAATAGATTTGTTTTTTGACATTTATGTCACTTCTATGAAACATTTTATATTTCTCATTTGTTTTTTACAGCGGAGAGTACCTAAGTACATAAGATATTGTAGCACACTTTGGTGACTGCATCTACTGTATATGGAGATCTACCTAGTCACACGACAGACAGAAGGGACTGAATACAGTTGTACTGTTCTCATTAAAGGATTTCTGTCTTTGACCCGGAAGCTCCTGCTGGTCTATATAATGTTCCAAATCCTCTTCCACTCATTGGACAACTGTAGTCAAAACCCTTCTCTTGCCAGCTCAGTTACTATTTAAGGGAATTTTATTCATCTATTTAACAGTTCTTATATAGTACACATATCTAAAAAACCATGTCTGTGTGCTTAGAATCTAGAAAGGAATGTATATTGGAAAAAAATCTGTGTGTATATTGAATCTGTATATTGAATTTTACATTGAAAATATAGGCTGTTCACTCTGATAAAGAAAACATGGCCAATAAAGTTAAGTGAAGAGTTGGAATGCATGGAACGCACAGACGGAACAGCTATACAGCACGGATTATTGCCGCAACGAATGACGTCATATGAAGAGGAAGGGGATCGAAGGAGAAGAAAGCGTGTGCTCTCAATCTGCAATCATAGATGGCATATAAGAAACCATTCACCTGGGAAGATCATAAGCAACTGAGGAAGCCTATTTGAGAGGCGAAACGCATATTGCTACCCACATGTGGACTTTATAATTATTATTTTTATTTCTGTTTATCCAAGTGTTTTATTATATTACCATTAAAAGGATTTTTACAACTCTATCACCGCCTAAGTGGATCTATTAAGAGAACCAGAGGACGAACCAGCGGCAGGTGTACAAACATGGAGTGGGATCCCTTCTGATAGTCCCACAAGCATTAATATTGAGCCTAACATTATTGGCTCTTTTCTTGTGAGTACAAGACTAAAGATTACACGTTTACCATTTATGATATTGCACTAGGTTTTTGTTATTTTCCTTTGTTTTTACAGCATACCTCATTATCTATTTCCACACCATCCAACATTGTCTACCCAAGAACCAACCACACTCCACCTACTGTATATGTATGTATAATTTGTGTTAGTGCGGGCTGAGAGGTTACCACACAGGTGTTTAGAGTGTGTTGGAGATTTAGTTGGGTTACGCACTAAAGATTTTTCTTACTGTTCACTCTGATAAAAGACTACTGGCTGGGCTATAACATATAACCTAGGTAACCTGTTCAAATCATAGTTTAATAAAATACATGAGGAAGTTAATAATAATAACAAAGTATTTAACCAGGAAAGGTACATTCAGATTACTCTGGTTTTCAAGTACGTCCTGGGGATGTTACCTTAGCCCAACATCCAGGGTTGTTACTATTACACAATTTAATGGTACTCATTTTATCTACCTCAGAAGGATGAAAGGCTGAATTAACCCTGCCGGGATTTGAACCTGCGACCCCAGGGTTGAACAGATTCTACTAATGATTTGATGATTTTACATTTCTCTATTGGATACTATATTTTGAGGACAACACAAGGGGTGACTGATATTAAAGGTTTATATATATATATATATATATATATATATATATATATATATATATATATATATATATATATTTTTTTTTTTATAATCTTATTGTGGCAATAAAAATTAATAATTAATAAAAAAGCGTGTGGAGTGGGGGGGCATAGTTTCCCCTTGTGCCCCCACCTGCGGACAGCTTAGGTTTCTAAGAGTATAATGAGAAGTCAAAAATGACCCCAAGGTTACGAGCATTACAGCATTTGTAAATTTACCTATCCAAATCAAATTTTAATGAAATGCATGGGAAGGTGAATAACCAATTTAAATTCCCCTATTGGACACTATATTTTAAGGACACCATCATCAGTGCTGATTTATATGCATGTTTATAATTTAGTTTAATGGTAATAGTAAAAATCAATAATTAAAAAGAAAAAAGTATGTGTGCAGTGTATCCATTCATATATAGGTCAACAACTCTAGAACAGTTTAGAATTTCCAGAAACACTACAGTGGGCATCTGTATGATGGATGGCATTAGAACATGGATACAACATTTCCTTGGTATGGTTGTCCCACAAGAACATTTGGGCCTGAGATAAATACAGTTGCAAGAAAAAGTATGTGAACCCTTTGGAATGATATGGATTTCTGCACAAATTGGTCATAAAATGTGATCTGATCATCATCTAAGTCACAACAATAGACAATCACAGTCTGCTTAAACTAATAACACACAAAGAATGAAATGTTGCCATGTTTTTATTGAACACACCATGTAAACATTCACAGTGCAGGTGGAAAAAGTATGTGAACCCTTGGATTTAATAACTGGTTGAACCTCATTTGGCAGCACTAACTTCAACCAAACGTTCCCTGTAGTTGCAGATCAGACGTGCACAACGGTCAGGAGTAATTCTTGACCATTCCTCTTTACAGAACTGTTTCAGTTCAGCAATATTCTTGGGATGTCTGGTGTGACTCGCTTTCTTGAGGTCATGCCACAGCATCTCAATCGGGTTGAGGTCAGGACTCAGTGTTTTGTTTGGACAGCAGTGGCTGCTTCCTCTGTGGTATACTCCCATGAAATCCATTCTTGTTAAGTGTTTTACGTATTGACTTTTGTAAGTCTTTAGCTAACACTCTAGGATTCTTCTTCACCTCATTGAACAGTCTGCACTGTGCTCTTGCAGTCATCTTTACAGGACGGCCACTCCCAGGGAGAGTAGCAGCAGTGCTGAACTTTCTCCATTTATAGACAATTTGTCTTACAGTGGACTGATGAACAGCAAGGCTTTTGGAGATACTTTTATAACCCTTTCCAGCTTTATGCAAGTCAACAATTCTTTATCATAGGTCTTCTGAGAGCTCTTTTGTGTGCGGCATCATTCACATCAGGCAATGCTTCTTGTGAAAAGCAAACCCAGAACTGGTGTGTGTTTTTTATAGGGCAGGGCAGCTGTAACCAACACCTCCAATCTCATCTCATTGATTGGACTCCAGTTGGCTGACATCTCACTCCAATTAGCTCTTGGAGATGTAATTAGGGGTTCTAGGGGTTCACATACTTTTTCCACCTGCACTGTGAATGTTTACATGGTATGTTCAATAAAAACATGGCAACATTTCATTCTTTGTGTGTTATTAGTTTAAACAGACTGTGATTGTCTATTGTTGTGACTTAGATGATGATCAGATCACATTTTATGACCAATTTGTGCAGAAATCCATATCATTCCAAAGGGTTCACATACTTTTTCTTGCAACTGTAATTCTTTTATTCTCTTCCCTTCCAGAATAGAAGTACAGAGATATGTCTCGTTGAACCAGAGAGCCTGATTGCAGCTGCAGACCCTGTAGTTACAGCATACAATAGTGTTACAAATTACCCCACCACCTTTGTTTAAGGACATTTTAATTTACATATTTCTAGTATTAATAAAAATAACACAGATATCCACAATCAATATATGGCACCTGACAATCTGAGATTTATTAGAAGAAACACATTCTTTACAATAAAAAGAAAAACACACACAAAAAAAAAAACAGCGAAATGATTTTGGCAGTATAACAGCCTGACATTCTCAGTTCTACAGCATTGCCAAAGCTGTTCGACCATTTTAATAATGTGTAACCGTGAATAACTTCTATTACAACTCAACTTGGCAATAATTCTCATTGTAGTCTTCCCAAATACAATTCATTGTCACTAACAGTTTGGATATCGTTTGTGTCATTTCCAATTAGATGCTGCGACATTGGATAATTAGATATCATATACTCCCGAGTGTGGAAATGTATTAAAAAATACAAATCTAAGCTGATGAGATAGCTTAGTTGGTTAATGCCCAAAGTAAATAAATCTCTACAAACCAAAACGTTGTTGGTTCTATTCTTGAAAGGTTTTTGTAAGTTTATCATTCCTTACTCAATAAGTGAGGTCAGCAATAAAAACATATGTTAATCTGTTGCATATCTGGTTACATTTGCAGGATATGCAAGGGGTTAAAATTAAGTAAGTAACCCATCATCATTACCCTGTTTCTATGTTTAAACAAATTTGTTTATGCATTAATATTTACTTTTTTTGTCCTTCTGGGGGTTATCTTCATAGTTCATAATAATAAACATGCCTCATATTTCTTCTACAGGATATAGGTAAATAGCAGACACCATAAATGTTATAAAAGTTTATAAATAAAATTTTCCTCCACACTAAATTCCTTTAACCCCTTAAGGACCAAACTTCTGGAATAAAAGGGAATCATGACATGTCACACATGTCATGTGTCCTTAAGGGGTTAAGAGATCCCTGTCAACATATCTCAGTACAGATTGCACCTGTAATCATGATTAATTATATTTCTTACCTGTTCTGTATTATACTTTGCATTTTGATATTACTTTGTATTTTTAATATTATGCTGAACCCTTTTGTAACAATAAAATGTTTGTGGTCCCAGGACAATCTTGAAAATTAGAAAAAAAAAACATGTATAAAATATGGTAAATGTGGTAAAATATTTTATAAATAAATTACCAGAAATTCAAATTTAATAATTAACATTTAATAATTTAACTTGATTAACAAAAAAAAAAATTTTTTTAATAATTTAGTCCAAGACAGTCAAACAGGAATAATTCTGCATGTTAGCTATATTTTTATTCAGCTATCTTGCTCTAACATTTAAAATTTACATTAAATTATCTTCAAATTTCACACAATTCCACTTTAGTGGATTACTCTGCATCTGTACCTTGGGATCCCTGGAAATTTAGAGATATGAAAATTCTACCCAGGCCATTTCTGACTGCCTCCTCTACTCCACGTGTTGTAATTCCAGGGTCCGAGACAAGGAAACTAATGTGTTTGAAGGCTTCTCATGGTAGCCTACTTGACACGTTTACACATCAAGTGAGCAATTAAAAGTATCCTTTTGGTCTGAAAAAAGGAAATAGCTTTTTTTTTATTTATTTTTTTAAATGCACGTCTCTTTTCTCATTTTGATATATTTAGATCTTTATTTACAGAATAAAAAAAGAAACCTTAGTTTGTACCCCTTCTTTGTATATCCCATTTGTTTAATAAATTGAACAAATAAATGAGTACACAAGATTAGTATGTTATGCTTTACAAGGAAGCAAGGAAGTGGTATTTGCATAATATATATCTCTTTAAACTCCAGAAAAGTACTTTATCCTCTGAAAAATAACACTGATCACTTAATTGAAGCTCTTGTTAAAAACATAAAATCATAACAACTGACCCTATGAACACCATATGGGTTATTTGTTATTTAAAATAAATGATACTTTTGCAATGTATTAGCACACATCTCTATGCTAAGATTCTGAGATATTGTACAGCGCTATGGACTATGCTGGTGCTATAATAATTAGTGAGGAGTGTCTGTGGTTTCATAGTGAGAAAACTGATGAATACAGGGGTTTATAGCAGTTAGTTTTTGGTAAAGATCTACCACATAGTACTGTTGTCAGCATTTAAAATAGAGTAATTCAAAGCCCGGCTATGTGGGAGTGATGTAGGCAGAATTTATTAGATGAGATGTACTTGAAAAGTCTTGATTTATTATTCCTGGTGAATACAATCACTCCCCCTAATGTCACAGTGTCAGATACAGCTGGGCAGTGTAGTAATGAATGTTAGCCTTTTCTTGAAATTTAAACTTGCAACATTGGTTACATGATAGAGCTGGTTACAATTTCCAATAGA